TTAAGATAAAGAAACAAAGAAAAAAGAAATAAGCAAAGAAACGAAGAAAAAGAAAAGAAAAATAAGCTTAAAAAAATGCTAAAATTTTGTTTTGTTTTTCGTTCGACATATTTTTCTTCCTTTATAATGTATATACGAGGGCGGTCCAATAAGTACTTAGCCTACAAAGAAAAACGAAAATTTTGAAAAATTGGAAATTTATTTCTCAACAAGCTCGATATACTACAATAGAAATCCAGATATGCTCTCCTTTAAACCATCCTGGTAGTAAAAATATTTGGAAAACGAGGCCCAGGAAGAAGAAGAAGAACATCTTGGTTAAAGAACGTAAGAATCTGGTTCAATACAACATCTGTGCAGATTGTCCACGCTGCTGCAGATAAGATAAACATTGCCGTGATGATCTACAATATTCCTATGGATAGGCATATCAAGAAGAAGACCTATTGCAAACAATATCCGACATATATGTGTCTATCTAACTTTGTTGATAAATAGTGGCATAACAAAAATTCTCCAAAAAACTAATTTTTTCCAATCTAATTTCAATATTCTTTATTCCCAAAACAAACTTTTTGATGATATTAACGTCAATTAACTTCAAAAACATTTTGCCAAATTTGATAAGTCATATAGGATTTTCACAGATGGGTCAAAATCCACTTTGTGGTCATTGTTACATGTCTGATCAACAAATAGTAATCCCATCGGATTCAAAATCTGCGTTGTCTGCTTTAGAAGCATTTATACAAAAACGGTATTACCGTCACAATTTTAGAAAATCAACTAAAGTTATTTAATTCAGTCTCTTTCATTTGGGTAAAAAGACATGCTAGTATCTCAAGTAACACCAAAGCAGATTACTATGCTAAAGAAGCTGCTTCAAAAGTTGCTCAATAGAAGTGATTTAGTCTCACTGCGTAAACAAGAATTAAAAGAGAACTGAAAAAATTGCTTTCTGTAACAGAAGTAACAACCTTTATACAAAAATTTACCTTGCTTTACCTACTGTGCCTTTTGCTGCAAGAAGTCATCCCGATAAAAGAGTATATTCAATGTTTGTTAGATGATTTGTTAATGATGCTACTGTGAATGGCTATCTTTATAGATTTAATTTAAGTTAAACAGAAGTTTGCGATTGTAATGGTAACACGGACGATATCAATCATTGGATGTTCGGGTTAGTGATGTAACGAATGTCATTTTTTAAACATTCGCGAATGCGAATATATGCCACCGACATTCGCGAATGCGAATGTGAATATTCAGTTTTTTTTAATTTGGCAATTTTAATTGTCTCCGGCACGGCCGGCAGTCTCATTTGCGCGAGGTGTGTAGCATCTGCAATTGGAAGAAGTCTGTCATTTTTAACTGCTTTAAATTGTCCAGTATCATTCTATCATATTTGCTAAAGATGTATTTGCAACATGATTTGCAGTTAAGATTATTGAGGGGTCGTTTAAAAAGATATTTATTTATAGTCACGTCCGGGCCAAAAACATAAAAAGCACGTTTTTCGATCTTATTTTTTCTTGTTATAATTAAATTTGACTTGTTATAGAGAGAGAGTTATAGTTTTTTTTTAGCGAATTTTGTAGTTAAAGTGTGATTAGCAATTTACTAGGTTCTATGAGTAAATCAAATTATAGTGAAATATGGACTTTTTTTCACCACATTTCGATACTGAACGAGCTAAATGCAAGCTGTGTAACAAAAAATATTCGAGAAAAGGAAGAACTACAACGGCTATGAAAAATCAATTAAAGGCACTGCATAAAACCAAGTTTTCCAAATTAGAAGAGTGTGAAAACCGAAAACCAGTTGCTTCTAAGTCACTTGAAGAGGCATCATCTGCCCATGAAGGTACTAAATCTGCCATGAAACAAATATCGCTTCAAGATTTTGTCGATAAAACGAAACAGTGGGATAATATTTCTTTGAAATCATTGGCAGTGATCAGAGAGTTAAGTGCCAAGTGCTGTCGATGTTTCTATTTCTTCTGTAATTCCCTTAATTGCTACTCTAGAAAAAGTTGTTCATAATCTTAATTCATCCGATGAACACATTAGTGATACGATTACCGTCATAAAAGATGAACTTATTCGCAAGTTTTCAGATTAAGAGAATGAAATATTGTTTGCTACGGCGACCTTTATTGACCCAAGATACAAAGCAAAATTTTTTAAAAATACGTCGACTAAAGAGCTTGTCATAGAGCATATTTTGGATTTGCTTACAGACAATGAAACCGACATATCTTCCAATTCACTTTACCCGAATGCAAAGCGTGTAAGATTAAATAATGAATGCGAAGATTACGAAACACACAATAGTCTGTCTTTAAAAGAAACGATGAGTTTACTAATGGATACGAGTGATAGTGGATACGATAATGATAGTGAAGAAGATGACATGGCTCTTCCTGGTTTTCAAAACTCTGTCCATCTTTTAATCTGTAAAACTGTCACAGAATACTCATCGGAAAAACGCGTGTCAGGTGACGTCGACCCTCTAACATGGTGGAAAGTGAATAAGGGAAGGTACGATCTTCTTTTTCCTGTAGTTCGGCAATATTTAGTTACACCACCAACGAGTGTCCCAAGCGAGCGCTTGTTTAGTGGCGCTGGACTTCTTTATACGCCACATCGAAACAGATTTGAAGGAGAAAAGGCGTCAAAGATTTTATTTCTAAAGTTTATATAAAGATCTCAAAAAAAATATTGATTTTTCACGTTGAGAACTCCTATGAATAGCTGTTCTGATGAGACCTATTAGGTCGAAATACGTATCAACAGATACATATAATTTTTTTTGCGTGAAATCAAATATTTGCTGCCTTTTTTCATTTTTTTCGGATTTACTCTGTATGAGTACTAGAAGCACAATTCGCTAAGGATTTCTGCTTAGTTGTAAAAGACATGTCGTGGAATGCAAATTGTAGATTCCCTATGTCCCCTTTAACATCTTTTATCAACGTGTGTTTGCCTTGCAATTTTTAGAAGGCTCAGATTATAAGCAGAAATCTGAATTGTGTTTCGAAACTATTTTACGGATTTTGTTTTGGGAATATTTAAAAAGGACTAAAAGAAAAATTTTGAATGGAATATGTAATGTGAATGTATAAATCTAGCTTTGTTTTTCTCTATATATCCTTATATTATATACTTAACTCCTAGCCGTTGCCTGCCTTGTGCTGTAATAAAGTCGCTATGAAAGACATATAAAGTACTATTTTGTTAACAAATGCAATAGGTGAATACATCATTAACAAATTTAAGTAGTCAAATACATTATCGTGGCTGAATGGATCAAGTTATTAATTAAAAAAAAAAAACAACAACAAAATCAAAATAGTATTAGTTTACAATATTTTTTAACAGTTCCCCTATATTTCAATAATATGCAGTCCTTACAGTGAGCAGGAATACTAACAGATACTGTTACACGGTTTACTTAGACATGCGTTTTTTGGCAAATTGAATTTTGTTCCACATCATTTACCCGAATCATTAATTCTTTATGTTTCATCAGCAGCGTTTCACGAAAGCACGTTATTATTTATTGTCTACTCTTAAAATTGAATTCGTTCGAGTAATTGATTTTAAAAAACATAAAAATACGTAGGTAGTATTAAATGAAAATATCGTGGGTAGGTATATGTATAGAGAAGTGGTGATTTTTAATCGCCTAACAACGGTTATTAAATAAAATTTTCAAGGACAATTTGGCAGGTTAATTGCCAAATGATAAATAGATGGATTTTTTTTGTAATTCATTAACAACTTTATTTTAGAAAGATTAATATACAGGGTGATCAAATTTTGTGACAAAGCCTGGTATATCATCTATATGACCACAGCCATTCTGCGGTATGCCAAAAATCCGCATTCTTTTTACGGTGGCCAGATGTGGGCGATCAGCATAGCTATCCTAACTTTACTTGCAGCTATTCGGAATAGTCCGGTTGTAGATGTACTGAACCACTTCCTTTAAATTCGATCTTCAATCGATACCAATCACGTAAATTCTTCAACCATGACTTCTGCCTTCGGCCAACAGATCTTCTTTCTTGAATCTTTCCCTGCATTATGAATTTCAAAATTTTATATTTTGATCCCCTCATCACGTGACCTAGGTATTCCAGTTTTTTGGTTTGTATAGTGGTGATTAGTTCTGTTTCTTTGCCAACCGTCTCCAGTACTTCTTTATTTGTAATTCTATCAGTCCATGATATTTTTAAGACTCTGCGGTGTAACCAGAGTTCGAGAGTCTTGATTCTTTTTAAATTGCAATTTTTTAATGTCCAAGTCTCAGCTCCATATAATAATGTTAAAAATATATAATAGCAAATGGTACGTAGTCTGATCTCCAAATTTAGATTTTTGCAGGTTATTAGTGGCTTCATTCGTATAAATACTGATCTAGCAATCTTTATTCGCATTTATTTCTGCAGTATGATCATTGGTTTCATTGATTCAAGTTTCCAAGTACTGATATTTTTCTACTTGTTCTATCACGTTACCGTTAACGTTATGCGTTGTTTTATTTGAGTAGAGTGGTTTCATTGACTGTTTATGTTAGTTACAAGATATGTGTAGCTGTTTACCCTGTTAATTGGCTGTTGGTATACCAAAATATGTATATTTAATATTTTGCACTTATATAGAAATCCGCATAATAAAGGATATCCAAAAATAGAAAAAGAATCTTGGTGTAGGCTACTGCAAAAACCTGTCAGGCCAAAGGCAAGAAAAAAGTTATTACCTTTTTCTTGTCTGGTATGATACTTCCATTTTAGGCTCTATTTATGTATCTGTCATAGCTTTTCCATTCTATTTTTTGTAATTTTTAAGTTTATTAGGGTTTTCACGATTTTTCTGTTACTGTTTCTGTCTTTGCATATTTCTCTTTTGGTCGCTGTTTGTCTTAATCCTTTATATGCCTTTCTATTATTGTATATGTCTTATTTTTATTAACTAACACAACCTTTTTCTTTCCAGGGCTATACCGATGAACCAATCTCGAAGATATTATCGAATATAAGCCAAAGTGATATTGTGAACTTGGATAGGTGGTCGCTGGACGTGGAAAAGAACAAAGACGCTCCGCCGCCGGCATCGAACGAACCCGTCGGCAAGGAAAGTCTCCCCCTTAATGTCGTCAACAACTACTACTCGCTGGGGGTCGATGCTCATATCGCATTGGAGTTCCACGAAGCCAGAGGTAAGATTTCTAACAGTGGTACAATTTTTAATTTTGTAACCATAGAAAAAATATTGATCTATGATCTATGATAGACATAGATCAATGATAGACCTATGTGGTCACAAACAGATATATTCACCATAAACAGATAGTGGTTGTGAGAAGTTTGACGTCACCCAATGTGGAAGGCGATTACTATTTGGTACTTGGTAAAGTTAGATTCAATGAAAGATGGAAAGAGAAGCTTAAACAAACCAATTCAGCGTAAATAATAAAAATAGAAAATTTAAGAGATGACTCCATAAAATCATTATATCAAAAAATGCTAGAACAAAAAATACCAATGGAGAATATCGAAAATGAAAGCAATGTAGAGACTAGCTGGAGAAAACTTAAAGAAAAATATTCTGGATGCTGCCCGAGAAGCCCTTGGAACGAAAATAATAAAGAAAAAGTGGTCAACGAAAACACCATGGTTTACACTAGAGGTTAAACAAAAATGTCACCTAAAAAAAGCAAGCTTTCCTAAAATATAACTCAGTAAAAACGAATGAATCATATGAAGAATATACAAGAATAAGAACTGAAACTCATCGATTGGTAAGAAAAACAAAAATAGATTACTGGGAAAGATTCACAAAAGGGCTAGAGAGGGATTTCTATGGACAACAGAAACAAGTATGGCGCTTCATAAGAAAACAAAGAAGCGAAATGAAAAAACTAGTTGAAATAGAACACATACAAGAGGATACATGGGTAGCATTCCTGACAGAAATATTTAAAAAACAGAACGAAGAACCTTTACCAGAATCGCCAAATATAATAACTAAGGAAAAGACCGAAATCTCCTAAACCGATGTGAAAGAAGGAGTTAACAAATTAAAAAACAGAAAGTTACCATGAGAAGATCAAATACCAAATAAACTCTTAAAATGTGAAGGTGATTACCTTGTACAACAACTGCAACTTCTTATTAATAAAATAGTCACGACCAACAGAATACCAGATAAATGGAGGAGAGCCAAAGAAATTTTAAAAAAGAAGAGGATATAGAATGGAAGAAAAGGAAATAAGGATAATATGCTACGCCGACGACGCCATAATAACAGCCTAAAATGAAGATGACCTACAAAGATTAATTAAAGAATTCGAAGATACGGCGCTCATATACAACATGGTGATCTCAACAGAGAAAACTAAAGCGATAATGATATCAGTAGAACCGAGACGATGTAAACTAGTCGTAAATGACAAAATAATAGAACAAGTGATGGAAACTGAATGCTTGGGAATAAAACTGTCAAGCTACAGAAAAGTGGAAGAAAAAGTACAAAAACAAGTGAACATAGCAAACAGAGCAGCAGGATGTCTTAACAACACAATCTGAAGAAACAAATACCTCACAACGGAAACGAAGACCAGGATATATAAATCAACAATAAAACCGATAATGACGTACACAGCGGAAACAAGAGCAGATACGACGAAAACAAAAAGACTGCTGGAAACAGCAGTGAAAGTCTTACAAAAAATAACAAATCAAACTCTAAGAGACAGAGTAAGAAGTGGGGAAATACGAGCAAGATGTGGTATAGAGGAAATAAACGCGTGGACCAAAAGAAGAAAAGTGGAATGGAATCAACACATCAAAAGAATGACAGAAAATAAAATAATACGAATTTCAAGAGACAAATCGCCAAATCGATGAAGATCATTGGGAAGGCCGAGGAAAATATGGTCAGACAACGTCAATTGAGGCTAAAAAACCGAAGTAAAACAGACATTAAACCTATTTATAAAGTAGGAAGAAGAGAAGAAGAAAAAATATTGTGTTTAAGTGAGATTTTGTAACATCGTAATATTTTAACAGTCTTTATATCTAATAAATTGTCTCTCGATCTTGGTCGTTATTACAGGAAGTCTGACGTACGGACATGTATTAATTAATTTTTATTTTTATCTTGGGGAATTTGTATCTAATTTCGCGATATAACGTTCTGTTTCTAATAGCTACGAGGATTATTCTAGAAAATAAAGATTGCAATAAGGCCGAAGGCAGCAGACGGGAGAGGATTTTTAAATCGGTTTAAGTTTGAGATGCGATACAGCGGATGGAGGTCACGTTCGAGGTGGTTTTCAAACGGTAGGTTTAAGACAACTTCATATAAAGTTATTTTCAAACTAAATAAGCGACAGGGTATTGGATTTGTACGGTTTGAAAATTCTTAAAATTAAAAATTCTTACGGAACCCAGCTACCAGAAATATAATCGGTTCACAATTTGTAGATAGCTCACTACAAGTTTAACCCTAATTAGAGAATTGAAATACAGAGAGGATAGGTAATACGATATAATAGTAAAAACCAACCTGAAACTTACGGTTTAAGATATTTTCGACTAACCCACATTGTATCTAAAGGAATACAATACAGCAGGTCAATACAGTACAATACAGCAGCAATTATAATCCGATTACGAAGGTCTTTTGGTTACAGATAACCGACCAGTGTCGTAGAGTATATGATTGAAACATTTGAACTAAATAAATGTATTTTTTAAATTATTGTACTTATGTAAATTGTATTTTTGTTTTAATAAAACTTCTTTATTTTATTCAAAAATAAAAAGTTTCTTGCCAGTTGTAAAAGATACATATATTTAATTAAGGAAAAAGGCGCCAAATGTCGCCTGGCAAAATTTTCAATGTTTTTTACATGTATTCATTATTTTCGAATCCGGAGAAAACCAATAAGTATTTTTGAAAAATTTAAACGCAGAATGAAAGATTACATTATTACTGAGGGCAAAAAGTCCCTGAAAACTTCTACAATGTTTATTTTAAAATGTTATGTAACAGGGGTGAAAATAAAAAAGAAAATATAGTATAATTTTTAATTGAAAATATTGCACGCAAAAGAACCTTTTTGTTTATTCTAATAAATATTTTATTCTGTCTTTAAATTTTTTAAAAATGCTTTTTAATTTTCTCAGGATTTGAAAAAAAATGGATACATTTTAAACACATTGAACATTTTGACAGGCGACATTTTCGCTTTTACCCTTTAATATCTTACGATTGCAACTCCTATTATTTACCTTATATAATTACGATTAGAAAACTATTCAAATTCAAAATAAATAGGATCAACTTCGGAATCCGGTCTTGAGGGTTAATAATTAGCGGTTGTGTCTCTACGGTGGCATCAATTATGTTATCAAGATAACAAGATTATTCCGCAACCAGTTAAGAATACCCTATTTCTTCCACGCAGTCGTTGAAAGTATTTCTGCTAGTCGTGAATGATAAGGTACATTATCTAATACTATAATTAAATTTGGTGGTATGTGTTCAATTATCTGCTCAAAATACTCTTCGAAAACATCAGCTGTCATCTCCTCGTGAGCTGTCGTAGTCTTTTGTGCTTTTGGACTGAAATTTCAACAAACCATGCTTAGATAATTTCTTCTCCAACATATTATCTCCTCCTGGTCAATCAAAAGTGATTTTCGGTCTGATTTCTCCCACCGGAAATTTAATTCTTTTAAAATTTGCCACAGTTTAGTTCGTCCGATATGAGGCAAATCCGGGTCGTCTCTAACTTCTTGTAAAATTTTGTTTAGATTTGGTATTTCTTTTTTGAAAAAAAAATTAATGAATTTTCCTTCGAATACCATATTTGGCAAATTCATCAATTTCAATAGGGTTTTTCCCTCTCTTTAAGAGTTCGTTTGTGTTTGGGTTAGCTATACCGTGTTTTTTCTTTCTGATAGGAACCTATATATAGTTGACTTCCCTACGCCAGTCATGTTGGCACAACTTTCGATTATGTTGCGAACAGTGTTTGTGGGATTCTGAGAAACCAGAGCATCGTGAACATTCAGGACAATAGTCTTCTCTCTTGGTGAATAGACAAACTTACTGACTGTACGCAACAGTACCTGTGTAAAACTTGATGATGTTGATGATGAAGCCATTACAAACAAAACGAGCACGAGCGAAAGGTACATATATGTTCGTAGGTATATGGAATAAAAATGGAGGTATATCACTTACGCACTGCATATAATTCGTAAAAGGAATATTCAAGACGCTAATTACTGCCGTAGACGCGGAAACACCGACGAGCCGTAAATTACATGCGATCAAAAACGTACTAAACAAAAAAGTTGTCTTCGTTCGTAATAACTTCACCCTTTCGAGTTAAGTTTCGAATATAAACTGAACAGGCGAGGCACGTGGCCAAAGCCAGCATTTTTGTATATATTATATTATTAAAAATCTGAGGAATTCCATCCTAATTATCTTGCAACGAATAGTACCGTCGGATATGAATTTCAGGTTTTCTAGTAAAGTGATTAAACGCGAAGATTAGTATTGAAATATCCAAAGGGATAAGGTATTCTTATTTACAAAATTGTTAATGGTTAAATTCTTATTTTTATTAATATAATATAATAACCAACATTAGCCGTGAAAGTTATAATTGTTTTTTGCTAAATATATTAGTATTAAAACATTATTAATATTGATAAACATTTTGGAAAGGAAAATAAATATAAAACGCATTAATTTTAATGAATAAACACCTCAAAAACGCCTACGATGATACAAATTTTACGACCGTTGTATGACTTTGAGACACATTTCGTACTCTCAACAATTTGTTAACGGATTATAGTAATTGAGTAAGGTGTGAAATTTATGTGTTAGGTTTTTTTGGAACATATGTTTTTGAAAAAATATGCGCATGTATATGCATCTTCTTTCATGAAAATATGCACAAATATTGACTTTTATTAAAAAATCCAATCCAATATGTAATAAAATTTAATGACGTAATAGAACAAAATGGGGTGCAAAAAGTACTACGTTCAAAAATTGGTTTTGATTTGGAAAAATACACATATTAACTAAGAAAAACATAGTCAGATACAATTATTTACTATTTTAAAATGGTACGAAAAAGTATTACAATATTATAGAATTTCTCGTTTGGAAATACTATAAAAGTTTTCC